CCAGGATAGCATAACCCATTTCTGCATCGGTTTCCGAATGAGCAACACAGTATTGAAATTTGATGCCTATCTAATTCAGACAATAGATGAAATATTAACACCATTAATTTTGGCTTCAGTAGGAACTGGGAGTGGGCCACATACACCCTGACTGAATTGGCCTTGTCAACACTGGTTCTCCACTTGTAAGGTAACTCCCTTCTTTTCATGTGCCAGTATATTCATGCCTGGATCTGTAATTTCCATGTTTGAAGGGGGCTTTTTGCCCACTAAATCTTATGCCCAAATAAATGTTAGTCTTTAAATTGCCACCGGACGCCTACTTGTTTACTAAGAGAATTTGATATTTTGTACTGATTCACAGAGTTAATATGTATAGCACTTTCTACATACTAATACAGTGTTATCTTGATTGGGTAAATATTGAAAAATGTCCACTTATTCATGCTGGCTGGGCGAAAAATACTATTTTAAAAACATCTGTTCAGTTGCCTTCCTCCCGTTATGTATTCTATTTTACATATTCAAGCTTTGGCTCAGTGAACAATTGAAAATTACCTGATAATGGTGACTTCTTTAAACAAAGCAGTTATGTAAAATAGGTAACTGCTAGTAGACTCTAAGTTTAGGTTAGAAATGTGTGTTAATTAGAATCTGGGCACATAATCATGTCACCTCTACTCTTGAACAGTACTGCTTTCCCTGTAGGAGAAGCAGTGATTTAATGTTGACAGAGTATGTTCTATTTTATTTCAATATTGAAGCTACCAAAGGGAAGACTATTGTGCGGGAGTACAGTGATATTCTGGTGTTCTTCAGTCTACTGCTATGTGTGCCCTAAAGAGGAAGAAGTAAAGAGAAGCTGCTCACAAATAACTTCAAAAATATTTGAAAAATATGTGGCAGAGCAGAACATCCATTGGCACTAACTGAGCAGCCAAAATAGAGCTTGGATCATATACGCTCAGAATTAGATACTTGTGGCTATTGAAAACAAATTTGAAACTCCCCTGCAAAACTTGTTCATATAAATGGAGGCAGAAGGTCGCTAAGAAAAATTAAAGCTCTTGAGATAAAAGCAAATCTAGTTGCCTATCTTTTAACTGGAAACCTTTCTTCCTAAAATCGGTGAATCCTGTTATTGGGTCTGTGGGTTGGAGTGCCCTTCTCCCAATAAATCATAAAACTAGAGAATACTGAAGGACTCAATTAGTAATATTAATTAACTTATTTGTCATATTCTGCAAGCTTCAAATATGTCTTAAACTGCATACCTATAAGGTTCTCAGTGTCCAGAGCCCTGGTGTTAGCTTGGGAAGTGATGCACTAAGGTATTTGGATTTAAAGTGAAGACTTTAGTAGTGCATAGTTAATATTTGGAACAGAAGTGCATCTACCCTAAAAGTAGTGCCAGCAGCACTGTGTGAAAAACTCATTTAACCCAAATTAACCATCAGAGAAACTTTTTATTTCAAGTATGGTTAATACAACTTAAAGTTGGATTTTACCCAAAACGCTGGTATTAGTGCCCCCTATCTTGGAGAAGGTACTATTGAAATTTTCAGTAAATGCAGAGGGCTTCTGTTTTATACTTCAGTCATCACTGGTAAAGGATATGCAGGTTCCGTTTTGTTTGTGTGTGAACAGAGCCGAGAAGAAATGAATATGACCAGGTTTGTGGATATGCATGGTTTCAAGCCTTGATTTCTTCTTGTTCCCCCAAAAGATTTGCACTTACGATGTTTCTTTCAAAATTTCAGTGCTGCATTTGATACAGTCCTTGGGATAAATGTTGCAGTAAAGAAGCTGAGTCGTCCTTTTCAGAACCAAACTCATGCAAAAAGAGCTTACAGGGAGCTTGTTCTTTTAAAATGTGTCAATCACAAAAACGTAAGTGTATTTTTCTTAAGAATTTAATTTATTTTCAAATAGTGCTCCTACTAATAGTAAACAAGAGTGCATAAAAGTAAGCCTTAATTATGGAAAGGTCAAAACTGGTTAAGTGTGGGTCAGAATTGGTAAATTATTGTAGATAGCAAAGACTATTATGAAAGTTTTGACTCTTCTCAAGTATTTGAAATGTAAAACAATGAAAGAGTGCTGGAACTTTGGTAACATATATTAATGTGTCTAATATTAAACAAGAACATTTTTTAGTTAGACCCAATCTATATTTGGGTTTATGGGTGGAGTGGGTGCTTTGTTTCCTTTGAGGTGGGGAGGGGAATGAGGTTTTTGAATCAATGCAGCTGCATTAGTAGAACCTCCCAGTTTAGGTACGGCACCAGTGTAAAACTGGGTTGCTGCAATGCAGTTTATCCCAGTAAGTCATACTAGCACCAACGCTATCTTACAGTGTTTCGGTGTGGGTTTGCACATCAGTGTAGTACACCATTGTAAGTTTCCCTGGTGTAAGCAAGAAGGCTTTTACTGGCCCCCATCTTTCAGTCTGTTGGTTCAAAAAAACAAACAAACAGAAAAACAAACCTAAACAAAAAAAACAACCTGTGCTCAAGGGTAAACTTTGAGACAGAATCATAGTTTGACAGTACTTGCCTATTAGCAATAGTGAGATGGTATTATGCTGCTGCTGCTAGCTTATCTGAATAATATGGAAGATATGTTACGTTTTACTTGATTGAACTTGACAATGCTTTGAAAACATAAAGCATCATACTGGTGCAAGTACTAAGTATCCTAATTACAAGAATACCAGGATATGAATACCAGGATCATGAAACTTTTAAAGGATTTTGAGAACTATTTCCAGAAACATAAGGCATGTCTACACAGCAACTAGACACATGTGGTTGGTCCATGCCAGCTGACTTAGGCTCATGGAGCTCCTGCTGCAGGGCTGTTTAATTGCTGTGTAGACTTCCGAGTTTAGGCTGCAGCCCAAGCTCTGGGACCCTTGCAGGGACTACACAGCAATGAAACATCTCTGCACCCCAAGCCCTGAAAGTCCAAGTCAGCTGGCATGGGCCAGCTCTGGGATTTTCTTTGCTGTGTAGATATATCCATAGAGCAAACAGGTTGATGGGGCATCTCTGTCTGTGTACTATTTGGAAGCCATTTTTCTAAGGATAGAAAATACTTGCTCACCACTTTTTCCTCTCAAATATCAGAATTTTTGAGTGATCACCAAGCTATTATTCTAGGCACAACATTTTAGGTTTTATTTGGTGTGTGGGTGGGAGGGGAAGTGGTTTCATGTAACTTAAATGTGACCTTTTAAAAAAATGTACAGGATCTCTGGTGATATACTTCAACACAGATGCTGCAGTATTGTACTTGTCCATGTGAAATATGTTAGTAACAAACCAGTCTAGTTTCGCTGTCGAAGTTGAGTGGCAAAGTAAATCAGCAGTGTAAAGAGAGAGAAACGAGTTTTTGTATTTGTTTTAATAACCACATTGTCTTGCTCTTCATTTAGTGTGTAAAAATTCATATATTTAAGGTTTCTTCATGTTTTATTTTTCTTTATAGATAATTAGTTTGTTAAATGTATTCACACCACAGAAGTCACTGGAAGAATTTCAAGATGTGTAAGTACTGTAGTTCTTAAATTTTTCTTGGTAAACATTGTCCTGAATTTAGAGGCATATTCTATGCTTTCTTACAACTTTTCTGGCCATGAAAAAAATATGGTACTGAGGATAGAATCTCTGGCCTGTAATTAATCTTTAAATGTTACAGTGAGCTCCTTGAGAAAATCTATAACTAAAGTTGTTGTGGTATGTGTGTAGTAATAGAAAATAATGGGAAAAGGTAAGTATTCCTTTTACTTTTCATCAGCCCTCCGCTACCTTTACTGACTACACATGGATCTGTAATTATCACAGCTGTTTTCCTTTAGATAGAATGACAGTCAAATAAGTCAATTCAAGACAATAACTCAATGTGGATAACCTGACATGCTTTTCTGAGATTGAGCCCATCAGAATCACAATACCTCCATCCTTAATTACAAGCTGACTATATTTCTTAACCTAGATCTTGTATGTGGTGGTAAGAGATCTGTCGAAGTATTCATGAGGCTCCAATCACTGTGTTATATAGGTGCTAATGTGTGTGTTGTTGCAGCTTTGGAATGGATTTATTTGATGAATGGCATAAAAAAGGGGTCGCATATTAACTTGGAAATTAATCACTGCTCTTTATTTCACAAAACGCTTTCCCTAATTTTGTTGATGTTAAGTCAGTACACAGTGAAAGGAAATCTCAATGTGACATGTTTATTTCTTCATCCTATCTGTAACTTCTGTGTAAATTTCATCTGTACCTAGGTTACATTAAGAGACACAACATCAACTACCAGTCCTGCTCTTAAATTTTGTTTGGTAGAATTGATGGTTTTAATGGATTTCCACTCTCTTGTGAGAGTATATGTTCATTTTTATTCAAACTTTTACTGTTTTTAGATCATTGTTTTAAATAAGTTAAATTATGACATTCAATATTTTTGCCTTTTACTGACATTCCAACACTCATTTTTCAGTGACTTGCATGGGATCCTATTTAAAAATATGTTCTGATGTTAGTTATAAAATACCTGAGATGAAAAAAAATGTTGTTTGTTTGTTTTTATTCCTTATACTGTAGGTATTTGGTTATGGAACTGATGGATGCTAACTTGTGCCAGGTTATTCATATGGAGTTGGATCATGAAAGAATGTCCTACCTTCTCTACCAGATGTTGTGTGGTATCAAACATCTCCATTCAGCTGGTATTATCCACAGAGTAGGTAGTGTTTTGATAGTGACATTGACAACAAGCATCTTTAAGGTGGCATTTATATGAAATTTGTTTTTGCTGGTTATCTTGTAAATCAGTATTCCATTTCATATTCATATTGTTAATAGTAATGTGAAAACCATATCTGGTTCACGGACAGACAGACAGATATAAGTGATAAATGAAACTCCAAAAAACAAACTAGTTCTGAAGATGGTAAAAGGGCATTTTCTGCAGTTTTTTGTGTTAAATGAGACTAAATATAAACACAAATTAGGGAAAAATATAAAATACAAGATATTAGTATTAATAGGTGATGGAATGTGAGTAAGGATGCTCCAAGAACCTTATGGTTAAAGCAAGGGAATAATTTGTATTAAAATGAAGTCTTTTAAACAATTATGTACGACAATAATATTAATACTCAAGGTAAAATCGTTAAGTGGTTGCTCAAAATTTCAAAGCCCTGCACAGCTGACATCCTGCAGCTCTGTTGGGCCTATTTGCTGTCCCAATCTGCATGACTGATCCTGCTCCTTTGTGGGTTCCAGTTCCTTTTATTCTTGCCTTTTAATTTCTTCCATGCAATCATGTGCCTGGAACTTCTTGCCTTCACCCTTTCCTCCTTCAAGTTCCTTGTTAAAACACAATAAAGAAAGTTTATAAACTCTAGAATGGAACACAAAATTCCCTAATCTCACTGTTTCTCTGCTGTCAACAAATATCTGTGAAACCCACTAGCAAAGTATCCCATCCCTCTCTCGTGCTGGTCCACATAGAGAATGACAACTTACTGGTGGTATTGATTACTCCATTACCCCCATTGGTAGAGGTCTCAGCAGTAGAGATCTAAAGGCTCCAACCCTGCTGATGACCCATGTGGGTGACGGTATGATATCACATGCTGGACTTTCTGTCTTTTCAATTTGACTTCAAAACCTAAGAAATTATACACACGCTATAATGTTTTTTAGCATAGTTTAAGTTTACAAAGTCAAGCACTCAGATGTTAGGAAATGGTTGAACTAAGATTGCCCGTGCAACCTTAATTTGGCTACACAATCCTGATTCATCCTCAGAGTAGGTCCATTCCGTGCACTGAATGAGGCAGGTCCTGGGGAAAATATAGTATGTGATCATGTAATTAAAGAATGATTCAAAGTGCATATACACAAGAGGTCCTAATTAAGGTTGTGTGGGCAACCTTAATTATGTCATTTCCTGACTTTTGAGTGCTTGACTTTGCAGTCTTAATACTCTTTCAAAGTATTTTTGTGTGCATGTAATTTGTACACAACTTAACTAAAAGAATGCACGCAAGAAATGTATATTAAGCTGCTAATGTTCAATACAGTGTGGTAGCTTATATTGATTTTATGGAAGGTTATATGGTATCTTTCAGTATGTTGAGCCTTTCTGTTAACTGAAATAATTTTTCTTTAGGATTTGAAACCCAGCAATATAGTAGTAAAATCAGATTGTACACTCAAAATCCTTGATTTTGGACTGGCAAGAACAGCATGTACTAATTTTATGATGACGCCGTACGTAGTAACACGGTATTACAGAGCACCGGAGGTTATCCTAGGCATGGGATACAAAGAGAATGGTAAGTTGCAGCAATGAAGTATTAAACCTTTTCTCTAAAGTGCAATTCTCTCAGAAGAATCTCACTGGCAGGACACCTTTTGAGTTTTCTATCTCTAGTACTAATGTAATTTATAACATGGTATTGGGAATACTGAGATTTACAGAGTTAAACATTTGAGGAATAGCTGTTGTCCTGTTTCTTGTGCCTTTCTCTCTACCACTGCTCTCTTTATCCTCCTTCCCTGCCATTCTCACTTGCTTCACTCCATAGTTCTTCATTCCTATTACCGTTGTTCCATCCTCAAAAAAGAATGCATTGTTTATAAGACAATTATACTTATAGATTTTAAAAATCTAGCAGAACCACTATAGGAAATAATTAACTTGTTGTAAGGTGTCTTCTCTTTCCCCCTGTTTACCACGCCCACATTTGTTGCTTCATTTTCGTCATGTCTATTTAAGCTCTCTGGGCCAGGGAGTGTCTTTATACAATCCTAGGTCTATGTAGCACCTAAGACGCTTTGGACACTGTATTTTTAATAATAATACATCTTAAATATCTTAAACAAAGCTTTCAGCAAGGATAATGTCCTTGAATTTCATTCCCTCGTCAAAAAAAGTTTTCAGATGATTGCTTGTGAGGCAGATGATACCCTGCATTCTACTCTAGACCTTCAGCTCAGTGCATCCCTTCACTTCATATTCCTTAGCCTGGATTAGCATTATATGGCCTGGGAGCATACCTTTTTTTGAGGTGTAAAGCTTCATTGTGGCTTTCTAACCTGAGAGTTCCACAGAATTTTCCTGAGTCAGCTGTTATGATGGTTCTGTCTGATACACAGGGCCCTTGACAATACATTAATTGGTGTGGATCAAAAATGTTTAATATGCGTGTAGTAGCATGTGTCCTGAATTGGACAAGAATATTCTAAATAACATGAAGAATAATAAACTAATCTGTAAAACTGTAAATATGCAGTTTAAATTTACAAATAAAAAAACTGTTTGTCGTAATTTAAAAAAATTCTTTAATCTTTTGTCCTTGTTGCACCTAACATATGATAGTGGATATCTGGTCTGTTGGGTGCATAATGGCAGAAATGGTCCTCCATAAGGTCCTGTTCCCAGGAAGAGATTGTATCCTTCTTCACAGTGGTTTCAGGGATTGTAAAGTATGATTAAAAATTTAAAAGTAATTGAAAAGGATTTAAGAACTGATCAGAAAAGCATTTTATAGAGTTAAAAAAAAAAAAAAGCGCAAGGCCTACCTCACAAAAACTGAATTACTGTCTAATAGCAAAACTTAGGAAAAAGCAAAGTCAGTGTTCTGTACTGTTGAGAAACTCATCTGTTAGCAGTTTGGTTTTCTGCATTCTTGTGGTTTTTATTGTAGATAGTAGGTTTATTTGTTTAGATTTTTTTAAGTTTTCCACTTTTGTTCATGACCCTTCATAATTTGATCATTTCATTTTTACTTTCAGTTGATATCTGGTCAGTTGGGTGCATCATGGGAGAATTGGTGAAAGGTTGTGTGATATTCCAAGGCACTGATCGTATCCTTCCCTAGTCATCCTTGAATCCTTTTTCACATCCACCAAAGATGCACAATTATTTTTATCTATTTATGTATATAAAAGCATAAAAAAGAAAACAAAATATTTCACTACTATATTTTAATGGATCTATTGTAATGTTTGAAATTAGTGTCATTAACCAAATAGCTGAACTTCATTTTTTTCTCCTACTTACTTGACAACATTTAACATAGTTCTTACTGCTTGAACGCTTATTATTCATATTAACAACTTCACATTTTGCAGCTTTAAAAGGATATTGCTAGGTCAAAAAGCAAATTTCCTTGGCAGTGTTTCTAGTAATTAAATCATTAAAACTGAAATTTTGAAAAATTTACTTTTCAAAATTTGTGCTGTTTGCTTCTAGCATTTCTGTATTTGCACAATGAAAATAATCCTACTCTCAATAGTTTGTTTTTAGTTTTTAGGGGTTTTTTTCAGTTTTTTTGTATTTGTATAATAGCACACAGCAGTGCTGCAGTCTCTCAGTTGGAAATGCTGCAGAAGGGGAATGTACATTTAAAAGTAAAGACCTTTTCTTTTAGATTTTTTTTTTTAATTTTATGGAAACATTTCTGTTGGTCTTGGATTTTTCTAAGTTTGTTTTTACAAACTTGACATTTTGGTCTCTTAACTCATTAAATACATCTGGTTAAGATGGCTTAAACTATCTTTGCCAATAGATATATTGTACAAAAAATTATTAATTTAGTATATTTCAAAGCCTTTTCCTACAGGCAAAGTATAAAACATAACTTAATTACTTGTTTCGAGTTTATAATATAAAAATTGGAAAGGAAACTACATTTCTCTCCATTTTAATTATTCTGAAAATGAAACACTGAAAAGTGAAAGGTTTTGTGGAACATCTAGTTCTGCATCAATAAATAAAATGTTATTTTCCCAGCTTTTTTATCTATATAAAGTAGATTCTGTGAAGGTATAACCTCTATAAAAACATAAACATGTAACAATAAAGGAATTTAAATCTGAATGCTAAATTCATGACACTAATCTTCAGCAGTTGATTAACATGCATTAATTTAACAGCACAAAATAATTAATACACAATTTTTTTCACCTCTTCTTCCCTTATATATTTATTGTTTTATCCTTCAACGCCTTCAGACCAACCTAACACAATTCTTCATGTATGTTGTATATCTTCTCACTTGCATGTTAACGTTGGTTATCCTGATTGCTGTCTTGATTTATTCATAAATTTATTCATAAATAAATCAAGGGAATTTTTTTCATACTTGTCAAATATGTATATATAATGAATCAGTTTCCCTTCTGGAAGGGTAAATAAAGCTCCACCAATCTAGATTTAATGTAGCATATACTGTATAATGTAGCATATCTATATTGTAGGTGTTGCTGGTAGCTATGCTGATAGTTAATGTTGCCTAACATTTTCCATTCTAAGACTCTGTTTCTAGTTGCTTATAACTTTGTCAAACTTTAACCATTTGGGCTGAAATTTTCTATTTCAGGCGTCTGCCTCAGGTATATTTTTAAGTTTCAGCTAAAATGGTTCAGCAGTTTCATAGAATGAGGTTGGAGAAAAATACATTGTTTTTGCTAATATTAGATTCTTACAGCTGTTTCACTGAGAATCCCTAGCACCTCCATCCTTTGGTGCAGGCACTTGAACTCTGGCAGAGAGGGTTACTCTGCCAGGGATATGCCTTTGATTGTCTGCATAAAAATCACCCACATTTGGCCTCAGAAAATCATGGTTAACATATGCACAGTAGGTGTTTGTTAGAGGCTGGTGGCATTATTCTCCAAAGATTCTGCTTGTGCTGAGCATGCGCTACCTCTACATAGCTAGGTGCTGGCCAGACAGCATGCTCTATTCTAGCATTGCAGAGGTTGAGCAGGACTTTCCTTGCAGTTGCTCTTCCTAGTTGTTATGGTGCCAGGTACCAAAAAGGTACCCCCCCCTCCTCTCTCTCCTATGCTGTCAATGCTCCCAGTTCCCAGGTAATGAGGCGGGGGGAGGAGGAAGCAACTTAATTCAAACACAGAATAGCGGGGAGCAGAGGAGGAAAGCGGGGAGCAGAGTCCACCCAATATCTTCCTGGAAGTAATTATGACTTTGGAGGACTGGAATATTTCTCTAGATGTTAGGACTTAGGAAAACTCAATTCTCTGTTTATCTTCCTCCAGAGCTTATAGATCCACTATAGCTAGGTAAACTCACCATGTGTTAGAATCTGCTAGGAGTGAAGTCTCATCAGTAAGATAAGGACCGCCTCTGCTCCAGAGGCTGCCATCTGCTTCTGTGGATGAAATCTGCCAGGCTGTTACATACCATCCTGTACACACCTTACGTTACAAATCAAGTTTCCGCCTAGTCTGTGTTTCAAATGCTACAAGGCATAACTTCTTAAACCCAGGTTTGAAGTGGCCCCTGTCCTAGAGCATAGCAAATGTTTGTTTCTACTTTCAACATTGGTGTGGTCCTTTGGAGAAATCCAATTAAACACTCATTGGTCCTGTTCAGTTCTTTGTTAGGTTACTGTTGGTCATTAAATTTTCCTAATACTGTTATTGACTAAAGAAAGAGAAGTAGGGATTATGAAAGATGGGGCTGAGTGTGAAGTTTTATTCAGTTAACTGATTAACCCTAAGGGTATGTCTTCACTAGCAACGTTAAAGTGCTGCCATGACAGCGCTTTAATGTGGCTGTGTAGTCGCGGCACCAGCGCTGGGAGAGAGCTCTCCCAGCTCTATAAAAAATCATCTCCATGAGGGGACTAGCTACCAGCGCTGGGAGCACGGTTCCTAACACTGGTGCTCTGTCTACACTGGTACTTTACAGCGCTGAAACTTGCAGCGTTCGGGGTGTGTTTTTTCACACCCCTGAGCGAGAAAGTTGCAGCTCTGTAAAGTGTCAGTGTAGACAAGCCCTAACTGGTGATACTTTTGAGGAGAAACAACCCTTTGAATGTAGTTTGGTGGAGCCCCTACCAGAAATCAGTCTTCCAGGTGGGAACAATATTTTTTGTGTGTGTTCAACAACTTTTTGTGTATGCACATTGTTTTAGCATGAGAGTTAACTTTTATAATTTTTTATTTACCATGCTTTTGATGTCAGTTTTCCATTTGAATGCATGGAACAAACAAATACATTATATTAGAATAATCTTTGCACTAGATGTCTATATTTTTAATATGCATCAGTGCATATCACAGGTATGAAAAGTTCTCAGTAGTGGCTGTATTTTTGGCAGACCAACTGAAATTTAAGCACTTCCAACAAAAATTTCTAAATAGAATTTTTTTTTGTGCAAAGGCATGCCATTTTGTTATACTTTCTCACTACATAAATAGGTATTCTAGAAAACTTTAGATGTGACATAACTAAATGTCTAACTTGTGAATGTTGACAGAATTGGTGTTCAGCAATATGTAGTACTGCATTAGAATTCCAAATTCCTCTGATTCAGAAAATGATTAGGGATTCTGTCAATAAGAAGGTCTCCTCCAATGTCAGATCTTTGAGATAAACTGCCTTGCATAAATTAATTTACTTGCTGTCCAAGCATCTTCAGCCATATGTACCTTTTTAATAGATTGGACTGAATTCTCAAGAACTGCTTCACAGTCAGTGATGATAGAAATAATACAAGAATAATTTATCTGTACAGTTCTCTTCAGACATTGCTATGCTTTCTATTACATAGCATGTAATAAAACACTTAATAGAGCCACATTGCTGAATATTATCTGACCCCCAGACTGTATGGAGAAGACTAGATGCTTCAGTTCCTCTCCTCCTACTTTTTTCAATGTAAACAAGTAGAAAAATCATGGAATTTCTAGCGTAATCCCAATAAAACACAGTAATTGTGTGTTGTTTTCCTAACTACTCCCTAAGCATCCTCTTTATACAGTGACAAATTGAGATTCACATTCTTAACCAAAATGCTGTTTTAAAAGCCAGATAAATGAGACAGCTTGGCAGATGAGGTGCACAGTTGTCATTTAGATAGTAAGGAGGGCAGGGGGAGAGTTGGGAAGATGCATCTTCCTAAGTGTGTGACCTCCTGTGAAGTTACATTTGAACTCTTAATAAGCTATGGTTATACTATAGCTTACATCGACATAAGTTATGTCACCCGGGGTGTAAATTAGCCACCCCCCTGAAGGACATAACTTATGCTGACTTAAGCACTGGTGTGAACAGCACTGTGTCTGCGGGAGAGCTTCTCCTGCCGACATAGCTGCGGCCACTTGTTGGGGGTGGATTAATTAAATTGATGAGAGAGCTCTCTCCAGCTGGCTTAGAGTGGCTACAAGCTGCGCTGCTGTAAACTCTCTGGTGTAGCCATAGCTTATGATCGAAGAACAGTCACTGTTCTCGTTAAGTATTACCATAATTGATAGTTAAAAACAAAACACTTAACATAGAAAATTCAGAGTTGCCATTTTAGAAGCCATTATGATTCATTAGAGTTGGATTTTCATTCCATCTTCTCAGGAAACCATTTTTAGATGAAAAATCACTATGATGCAGACTTTCTTAAGTAGAAAAGTGGTACAAAATTCTTCAGTCTGAATGTGATGCAGTTATTATTTGGTCAGGTTTGTCCTGATCTTTTTCCTGCCCTTTATTAACTTTATTTGTGAGGTATTTTGTACATCTTAGGTCCAGAAGATTCAACACCAGTCTTTCCTTTCTCTCGTCCCCGTCTCCATGAACAAAGTGCTTCATTATGGACACCAATCTCCAATCCTTTTGGATCCTGTCAATGCCACTTTTTAAAATGGCCAGTAGATTCTGTTCAAAAAGAATTCTGTTTGTGTAGTACTTTTAGTCCTTCCTACTATTGGGATTGGAAGTCTGATTTTTGGAAATTAAATTTGTTCTTTGCATGACCGCTCAGAATGCTGTGCTGCTAGAACAATGTTACAATCCAGATTTGGCTCTTACAGTCCAGGTTTTCATTACTTTCAGTGCACACAAATGCTTTGTGGCACATTTCTATAAGCAGTATCTTACACAATGCAGATTTGAAATTTTTCAGCTACTTTTCCTAAAGATAGCATCCAGATATTGATCAATGGAATAAAGTTATTGAACAGTTAGGAACTCCATCAGCAGATTTTATGAAGAAACTACAGCCTACTGTGAGGAATTATGTAGAAAACAGACCGAAATATCCGGGTATCAAATTTGAAGAGCTCTTCCCAGACTGGATATTTCCATCGGAATCTGACCGTGACAAATTAAAAAGTAAGATATTTAGATATAAGAAGGGTCTTTCTAAATTGCTTCAGTTGAAGTTTATACAGTATGCGCAGACAATGCAAACATGACACTATGCTGGTGTGATACAGTCTGATATCATCACACTACATTGCATTAGGAAGCAGGAGGTTGAAAGCAGCAGCCTTGCTTTTTCCTGCATTGGTAGCACACCATGAAATGTCCTACGGCTGCCATTAAAATAGTTTGATTAAATAGATACTTTCTATTCTCAGAATTCCAGTCTATTAAGATCCAGTCGATGGCTTGAATGTTTACTAAAAAAACATTTTTATGAAAGCCATTTTATAATGAAAATTGATCTTTCTTTCTCTAGTTGATATTGATATGCATGTGTAGTTCTCATGCTCATTTTAACTGCGTATTGATTAAATAGATTATTTTTTCTTAATTACTGGTATATTAGATATGCCTGTTGAATCTGCCTCTTGGCCACCTGCAACCGTAATTATATTTAAAAAGCCACAGCAGCAGGCAGCTTAAATTCGTTATAACAATGTGATACCACATTGATATTGGTATGGGGCTCAATCCCGCAAATACCTATTATTAACTTCACTTGTGTGAGTAGTCTCGCTAAACCACCAAAAGAGAAATATATAAAATGCACCATAAGCAATAACTCTATCAAAAGGAATTGGTGACTTCGTAAGTCACAAGAGCTAAAGCTTTCTTTTTACTATATTAATACCTATTTTTAAAATGTCAGGTTATGCTGTTCTACTTGAAATATTATTTTAGTGCCATACAAACCATGGCCTTGTACCGCAGTGAGACTGGGTGCTTAAGCAAAGTTATTTGGGTGTATTTGCAAGAGTGGGACCATGACTTGGATGGTATTAAATAATGTTTAATTTCAAACAATCTAACCTTAATTTTAAATATATGTAGCAATATAATAAAAAGAAACTTTGTTTCATTTGGCTTTTGAAGATACTAGTTTTTCTCAGTAGAGTTAATACTTTCATACGTACAGCCAGATGTGTAGTTGTACTAGACACTTATTTCATCTTGGTGCATAATGTTCAAAGACTCTCACACAAGTTTTATAAGAGACCTGTTTAATCTTGGTGCATTGTGAGACAAGCTTGAAGGCCAAGAGTCTACAGGTAACTAATAGAAGTACTTGAATTATTAACTTGCTTAGGAATTTTTGTTGTGAAACTTTTTTGTTAGGATATATTCTACCATATGTTGTTTTGTTACATTTTAGCATTTTAGCTTCTGAAACGTTGTTTGTTCTTTCCCACCCTCTTCTAGCAAGTCAAGCTAGAGATTTATTATCAAAAATGCTGGTAGTAGACCCAGACAAACGAATTTCTGTAGATGAAGCCTTACGACATCCATATATCACGGTCTGGTATGATCCAGCTGAAGCGGAAGCAGTAAGTGTACATAAAAAATTCTACTCAAAGTATCACTTTAATCTTCATATTTGAGACAGTAGTTTGTGGCTTGTGTCAGGTCAAGAGTAGATGTTGAATTCTCACTTTTCAGGCTAGCAAAGATTACATATGTAATCTTGAGAATATAATAGCTTGAAGTGATTGAAGTACCACCTCCAAAACAGCCCAAGAAGTGGCATTAGGGTTGGTTTGAAAACATCCCCTATAGCTGATTTCCTCTCCATAGATATATAGTTGCCAGTGCAACAGTAATTTAGGCAGGTTTTTAATCCTACCAGCTTTAGGATAAAACCATTTAATTTTGTTGAGAATCCTTCAGGCCTCATGATTTCTTTAAACCTAATATCCAGTTTTCAGCTGACAAATCTAATCTTGGTACATCATTCCAGTAGCTTGATTAGTTTTGCAATTGAGACCATATAATTCTGAGGCACTTCTATAAAACAGATAAGATGGAGATATTGGCAAGGGACCCAGCCAGAGATTAGCAACTAAAAATAACATAACATTTCACCTAGCTCTTTTTTGTTGTTGTTGACACCATGGTTAATTATACTAATGAAATGCTGCAGTTATATTTCAGATTTTATTTTCTTTGTAGCCTCCTCCTAAAATCTATGATGCACAGCTGGAAGAAAGAGAACATGCCATTGAAGAATGGAAAGGTAATAGCCAAAAATGACTGATTCCAGTGATGGTGGTAATTTATCGACCATCACTACTAAAGTAGTGTAACTCCTACACTGCATGGCTGATCAGAACACACCAGATTCATTATACAATACTGCATGCAACAATGTGAAGATTAAAGACCCAACAAATCATAAAATGTCATATTATGAAGTTAATTATAGATTAGTATACAATACATTTGGAAAGTGAAGAAAGTAGTATATTTTGCTAAATGCAAGTTTTATTTGCTTTTCTGGTATTTTGTTAGCTCTCTTTGTGGGTGGGTGGTGTGGTTTTTTGTTTGTTTTATGAAACCAGCCTTCTAAGGTAAGTGTTTGTTTATAATGGATCTCTAATACATTTTTCTTAATCAAGAGTTCTTCAAAACAGATACACCATCCACTCTCCAAACCACAATACTTAGTCTCAGATCTGTTCTAGTACAGGAGTCCTGCCTATCAGAGTTGTGTATTTATAGTAAGACACCATTTTCTTTATTGAGTAGCTTCTATGTTGGTAATTTGTTTAAAAGATTAAAGGCATTGTGTGTTCTGGTAACAATTATGCCTTATTTATAGCATTGTGTACATCACCTTGTGGTGAAACCAAGATATGAGGTAGCCCTTACTCACTCAAGTAGTCTCGATCACATTAGCAGAATTAGTTTTACAAGTTAGGGCTACAGGATCAGGCCCATAATATTACCTTTAGAGAGAAGACCTTATAGATAAGTAATTTCCATCATGGTTATGAATGAAAATATTCCTATTGGTAAGAAAAAAGTGCTAAGGTTTTTCCAATACAGGTGGTCTGACTATTATGTTTTTAGCTGACATACTTTTTTCTGACCTTTGTAAAAGTTTAATTTCAATGTAGTTCAGCCATACAGTAAGTTATTACAATGGGTTAACTATTATATTTCCTTTAATGAGTTTAGAGTATGTCTATTAACTTTTTGGTAAATATTGAAACTGTTTTTAACTCTTCAAGTAAATTTGCAAAGTCCATTCGTCATAACTGTTGTTTGTTCCATTGGGAAAGTGTACCTCTAAACAGTTTACAGCTACACCTTTAAAAGTGTAAAAGGAAATGGCTGAAAGCACTGTTTTTTGTAATATTATCTTTCCCTACCAACCCTTTTTCTTTTACTTAAGAATTAATATACAAAGAAGTAATGGATTGGGAAGAAAGAAGCAAGAATGGTGTGGTAAAAGATCAGCCCTCAGGTTAGTCATTGGTTTTAATAGTTTAATTTTTTCTGTAGCTCTGATACATGTTTGGTGAGATGCTCATATTACATGAATCAGAATCAACAATCCAGTTATGCCAGAAAGTTTTGGTGATCTTGATCCTGATCAGTCTCCCAGATTCATAGTCAATTTGCCTTGCTATGAAGTGAGCTGCGGAAGCATGTGCTGCTCTTCTTCCTCCCTGACTGGAAGAGATAAAAATAATTGTTTTGGGTTTAATTGTTTATAAACCACTTCTTTCTAAGACATTCTCCTGTCCTGTAGGTATAACCTGTGTCCTTGGTGCCCAGATGACAGAACAAGGAGCAATGGTCTCAAGTTGCAGTGGGGGAGGTCTAGGTTGGATATTAGGAAACACTATTTCACTAGGAGGGTGGTGAAGCATTCGAATGCGTTCCCTAGGGAGGTGGTGGAATCTCCTTCCTTAGAGGTTTTTAAGGCCCGGCTTGACAAAGCCCTGGCTGGGATGATTTAGTTGGGGATTGGTCCTGCTTTGAGCAGAGGGTTGGACTAGATGACTTCCTGAGGTCCCTTCCAACCCTGATATTCTATGATTCTATGATTCTGTGAGATGTATATTACCTTGCATTGGCTGTATTAAAAACGTTTAAAAGTGAAAATCCAGGGTGCTCGTGGCCTCTCCTAAACTGATAGCAGTATTATAGAACACAGTTTAGCGCATCTGTACTTCTCAAAGGTTTTAGTACAGTGGCTAGCATCTGCAATGGTTTTGTAATGAAAAAATGTCTAATGCACTGAAGAAACTTGCAGCAGTGTTTCAGTCCCTTTATTCAGATGTTTGGGGGGTGGGGGGAAAGAGGGTGGTTCTTGTCTTGGCCTTGTAACTTAGGTGGGTAGTAGTGATTTTGTTAGCAGAGTATAAAAATTGCAGAAGAACCTTTGCCCTGTTTCCTTTCTATATCAGTTTTTTCTCACTGTTATCCTTGTATTGTTCTGAGGAACTAATTTGTTTAATTGGGGTAATGATTTGTCAGATCCTGAATCCCAAGCCAAAGCAAGTGCAGGTAAATCCTTTTTACGTAGTTTCCCATATTTATAAATATTAAAATAGTAATTTATTGTCCTTACCCCTTGCCTTAATAATTGATACTAGAAACAGCATATGTGAAAAGCAGGTAGACTTCAAATTTGACTGTATTCTTGATGTAAACCCATTGTGTCGTCGCTGTGTTTTTGCTGGGAAACAGCTTACTTTGCTCTTCCATTCTGGGTTAGAAAGAGTTTGCTTTATCTTACCCCTGTTTCTCAGCTGGATACATTATATAGATTTAAATTTACATGTAAATTCAGAAGCTAGTAATATGGCCTGCTCAAAAGGCTAAAATAGTCATATTCTACACAGAGAACTCCAGTGAGGTACCTTACATGTTACAGTAAATATGTTCAGGGGAATGCCCCTGTTATCTTCTGTAAAGACCCACATTATTGGAGGTTTTATATTTAAGGAGTTCCAAAGGTATGAACCAGTTTTTATCTCATCTAGTACCTGAAAGAAACTGCCAGACCACATGAAAAATGTGCTGTGAACTGAAAAGTGAAATAAAGTATGTTGTGGAAAACAACTCTGCAGGCTCTACAAAATGTTATTCTTTAGAAACTTGCAAACTGTTTTGCAGGGATCCAGTACTCTTCAGCTGATGGCACTGTAACTCAAGATGTCCTGCTGCAATGTTTAGATTTAATTTGTCTTTAGTTTTATAGTTTGTCACAACTTCTTTATTTGTAGTACTAGTTGTCTCGTAATTCAATGACATTGGGATTATTCCTCTCTGTGTGTAACATTTTAATAACTGTATAATACAAGTACAGCAGTTATGTAATTGTTTGTAGAACTCTGATAGAATGAACATTGGGGAAAGGAATATTTTAGGTTCAAAATACTGACAAAATTACAGAAACTGGTACCTCAAAGTATAAAAGTGTAATTTAGTATAAATAAGAATACAGATATTTAGTAATCTTGTCTTCAGGTACTTACTCATACAGTTTTCTGGAGGATGCTAAGAGAAACCTCTCCACATCCACCTATCTTTTACCATACAATGTAAATACAGTGATATTTTTAGAATTTCCATGGTCAGACAGAGTAACATTAAGAAAAACTTGAAGCTAAAATCTCCAGGTAATTTAACAATAATCTTCTGTCAAGAATAAAGTTAGGTTACCCTTAATGTTAATTCTAACACATTCAGAAAACAGAACAGGCTGTACAACTATCCCTCCTGGAGAGTTAGAGCCAGTATCCCCTGAAATACCCAAACCTTACTCCAGGATGCATATTGGATACTGAATACCTAGAATTAAAAAATGAAAAACCAAAGTCACTTTTGAGGTAAAATTCTAGTAACACTTTATCTAAGTATTTCTATACTCTGAGTTGTTTTTTCATCCAAAAAAAATTTAGTTCACACAGATTTTAGTTCACACATTTGTGTGCTTGCTTACCTTGAATACTACCTTATTCCACATATAAGCCTATGGAAATAGTATATCTTCTGTAGCTTCTATTTTGGCTGACATAAAACTTTAACTTCTTCCTGTGTCTCAAAAATTATCATAACCAACATAATCCTAGCAAGTTAAATATTTACTATTTCCCAAAACCGAGTCTTACATTTGAATTAAAATTAGTGTAATCTGGAAAGAGTTCAGTCTGTTAAATTCAAGCTTGTATCTGATGTGCTGCTCTAAAATTGAATTCCTCGTTGCTATTGTCATACTTGTCACCAGTTCTGTTTTGGAATTTGAGGTGGATGCACCTTTCTTTGTGGGTTTTTGGTTAGCATTTGATATGCCTTTATGAAGTGCCATGCTCTGAGAATGTGTCAATCATATTGAAAGTAACCTCTCCCCCCCCCCAACTTTTAGTGTTCGCTGGTATTCCAGTGATTCTTACTTTTCTTTTTTCCAGCCCAATTTTTAGATGAGTCCAACCTGATTCAGTATAACATTTCTTGACTGTAAAACTCTCAGACATAATCATGAGGAGCTGTATAGGTTAAAAGCCCTGAAATAGACTTTAACTTCTTGACTATTTTTGTCTAGTTTTTTATCTGTCATCAGTTTAAGTATATCATTGTGACGGGTTGGATCACAGAACCCCCCTGGGGAACTGCCAACTGATGTGCCAAGACTGCTTCTGCCCCTGCTTTCCCTGCCAGCTTGGGACTCCAGCACCCTGTCTTGTTGAGCCAGACACGCCAGTCTGCTCCAACACAGACCCAGGGTCTGAACCACATGTCCCAAAGCTGTAGACGTAACAGAAAGCAATTTAAGAAGTGTTCCTGTCTTTAACACTCAGATGCTCAATGGGGTCCAAACCCCAAATAAATCCGTTTTACCCTGTATAAAGCTTATACATAAATTGTTTGCTCTCTATAACGCTGATAGAGAGATATCCACAGCTGTTTGCCCCTCCCCCCCGATATTAATACATACTCTGGGTTAATTAATAAGTAAAAAGTGATTTTATTAAATACAGAAAGTAGGATTTAATGGTTCCAAGTAATAGCATACAGAACAAAGTGAATTACCAAGAAAAATAAAATAAAACACACAAGTCTAAGCCTAATACAGTAATAAAACTGAATACAGATAAAATCTCACCCTCAGAGATGTTTCAGTAAGTTTCTTTCGCAGACTGGATGCCTTCCTAGTCTGGGCACAATCCTTGTTCCAGCTCAGATGGTAGCTAGGGGATTTCTCGTGACTGCAGCCCCCTTTGTTCTGTTCCACCCACTTGTATATCTTTTGCATAAGGCAGGAATCCTTTGTCGTCCTCCTGGGTTCCCACCCCTCCTTTTCAATGGAAAAGCACCAGGTTAAAGATGGATTCCAGTTCAGGTGACATGATCACATGTCACTGAAAGACTTCATTACCCACTTGCCAGCACACACGTATACAGGAAGACTTACAAGTAAAACAGAGCCATCTACAGTCAATTGTCCTGGTTAATGGGAGCCATCAAGATTCCAAACCACCATTAATGGCCCTCACTTTGCATAATTACAATAGGCCCTCAGAGTTATATTTCCTATTTCTAGTTTCAGATACAAGAATGATACATTCATACAAATAGGATGAACACATTCAGTAGAGTATAAGCTTTGTAATGATACCTTACAAGCGACCTTTTGCATGAAGCATATTCCAGTTACATTATATTCACGCTCATTAGCATATTTTCATAAATTCATATAGAGTGCAACGTCACAATCATATTTTAGGCATCTTATGCACATTTTTACTGCAGTTTAGAAATCTCAGACAGTGGCTTCTAACGTAGTCCCTTCCAACAAGAGATATCAGCTTTCCTTCCTCTAAGGAGTGGGTAGTGTGTAGAGGATCTCAGGTGCTCTCTCTATGGACCTCACAGTCCTAAGTCTGGCTCTACTGCTGGAGCCTCCCAGTGCCTCCTGCTCCCTACAAGTTACTGTTGGCCATTTTCTTCGATGCCTCCTAACTAACTCTGGAGTCTCCCCTGATACTTTACCACACAAGGCTCTCTACTCTGAGCGCATGCTGCTTCTTATATAGTCCTGGCATAGCCACATGACATCCCCCCTTTCTGCCTGCAAGCCCCATCCGTCTCTCTTGAGTACTAAATATCGCAGAATGCATTCTCTTTAAACTACCAAGCCTTAGTAACCAGCATAGCAGCACTTCCCCTTAAAGAGCTTGCCATGTCTTCTGTTATGTGGCTGTAAAAATTAGTAATCCAATCTATTCTGGGAGGTGTTGGATACCTGTTGTATGCTTTGACTGTTCTGACTAGTGTTAAATTTTCTGATGTGAATAGGTAATGCAAAAAGCATTACTGTTAAGAGTGAAATGGAGATCTTCCCATCTTCTCAAGGAATAAAGTTACAAATTATTCAAACATAAAAACGACAAAATGAGATGTCAGAAGGGCATGGAACAATGTTTCCTGCTTTTTACAACACTAATGTGGAAATGTAAAACTGAAATCTGCTTATCAGACTTGTTTGCTCTTCTAATTTTGTTCAGTGATGAGCTGCTGGTATCTTTCTTTTCTTTTTAAAACAGGTACAGTATTCTTTTTGGAGGAAAAAGGCACAGAGTGTTGCATGTATTTTGCACAGATACGTGAGCTCAAATTTTAAGTTAACTTTGATAGTCCCTTAATAAATACAATAGTAAAGCATTGTGTACTCTGGAAAAGGAGATACTAAGAATCCTAAAGCATTATTATCTATATTTGCAATAATGTCTTGCCTCAGATTTTATTATGCTTGGTTTACTTAGCACAGATGCAGCAGTGAATAGCAACACCAGTCCTTCCCAGTCATCATCGATCAATGACATTTCATCCATGTCAACTGAGCAAACATTGGCTTCAGATACAGACAGCAGCCTTGATGCCTTGACAGGACCCCTTGAAGGATGCCGATGATCAGCCAGGATTGCAGACTTCACTTTGGGAAAAAAACTCGTTTCCATTGGCCTGAATTGCTTGTAAGTTAATGGAACCAAGTAGAGAAACTCCATGTTCTGCATGTTCTTCTAAAGTAATGCCTGTGTTTTTACTCAGTTGTAATAAGACTCCCTGCTTAATGTTATAGAATGAAAGCAAATCAATGTCTAAAGAAGAAAAAATTTCAGTTTAGACATTACTATGGGCTTTTTTGTTTCAGCCTATTTCAGGTGAGCAGTTACAGTAGATGTGTACCAGATAACTCCTCCTGAGTGAGTTTATGGATCTTCTGTCTCATTCAGTAGACTTCTGTAACACACATATGGTCATTACATTTTTGCATAGAATTACCCTGTAGTGGGTGTTTTGAATGTATAGCGTCCGTATAATTTGCTTAAATATGACTACAGAAGTTTGTGCTATTTAACTCCAATATGTTGTATGTGAGTGTTACCTTACATATTGGAAATTATCAGTACTGTATTCAAGGGGCAATTGTTCTTCCACATAGCACTTTTTTTTTCCTATTGAGCCCTTTCTTTCCTCACCTCCCAATAATTTTGTATATCTTCTTGTAGAAGAAACAAACTTGTGAACTTCATATAGCATAGCCATCATTTCATATTTTACCCAGGAATGCGACTATGCTTCTCTGAATGTCTTCTTTCAGTTGTTTTAGTGGGAGGTAGAATGGGTTAGCTTGGTGAAGCAAAATGTCTCTTTAAACGAGGTGAAGTGCTAAATTATTTCCTTATTTTCTGGCTAATACATTGTTTTGGTCCTTTTTTTATCAATAAAAACTTTTAGAAACGACCCTTTCCCTACTTTTTCTTTCAAGAACAAAAATTAGTCCTGTGGAGCTTCTCCCTTCGTCACTTCTTGTGTCTCAATGCAAAAATCTGATAAAGTGCAGAGGCGATGGGGAGACTTGAAACCTAAGTGACCCCTGGAATAGTTGCACAATTTTTTTTCTAGTCTTGTTTATGAAACCATTCTACAATGTGAACACTTCTAAATTTTGATAGGCCTTTTGACTGATTTGACAAATTATATTCTTAAGTATTTCTTATATCCATAGAGCTCAGCTCTACATCCAAATTAGACAAAACTCTTTCTTTATTAAAAAAGCGATCTGTCTACATTTTTTAACAAGGTACCACAGGAGAGGGAGGCTGTTTGCAGTGAAGCTCTTCTTCAGTTTTAATAGAAGCTTATCAATGCAGTTTTCAGATTTAAATAATACAGACATTGCCTCTTACATTGCACAGTATTTTGAATTATTAGAAAATGTGTGTGCAGTAGAATAGTGCTTAAGTTATCAAATGTTATACAGTTGTGCATTTGCAAACAGAAAAGCATGTTTGCTTTGGAACGCACAAGTGTAAGCAATGCTTTGCTAAAAGATCTTCTTGTGTGCACGTGTGTATGGTTAAACTATATAACTAAAATAGTAATGAAAAATGTCAAAGATGAGGCAAAACATTTTGCTTTCATAGTGGCACTATATTTAGCTGTTGATTTAGATACTGAAGTCTTGAACATTTAAAGAGAACTTGTACAACTTTCTCACTGAACCAGCAATTATGTTACTGACCTGAATTGTTCAAGTATGCTGTTTGGGAAAGGAAAAATAATTGCCCATGATTTTGCATGCTCTTGGTTATGATCTGAAAGGTAGACGTTTTTCTGTTAATGCAGTGTGTACCCATAAATGTTTTAAAATAGGTTAATTTGCTGTAGCTTTGAATTTATCAGAACAGAAAAATTTGACAAGAAAATTGGACAGAAGTATCTTACCTGATATAAGCTGTAGGAAGTAAATCTTTAGAGTTCACATCTAGCATCTTCGTTTTGATATTTTTTTTTTAACACGAGTACTGTTTTTGAGTTTTGCATTTTTGTTTTTTTTAATTCAAAAATACAGATATATTCTTTATCATGTGTTTCTGGTGATATGTGCAAAATTTGTCTGGCTTATTTTGTCGTCAGAGCAAACCTTTGATAAAAATGCTTATTGTGTTCTTACACAATAGAATTGTGCATACTCTTTATCTCTGGGTGTTTGGAGGTGTTAATGTTCAGACACACCTAGCATATAGAATAAGCTCTGGTGATCTTAAACTATCTTGTGATTAGCTTCTGCCCTATTCACTTACGGAGGGAAAAAAATTGAAATCAATCTCTCTCTCTCTCTCTCTCTCCTGGTGTGTTGATCCAAAAACTGCCTAGAGATAGCTTCACTTAACTAAGCCTATATGCAATCACTGATGTAGGCCAAGACTTTCGAAAGTGACTAGTGATTTTTGGGTGTCTAACATGAGGTACCTTTTAAGGAGCCTTATTTTCAAAGGATGGGGGCTCAGGACTTTGAGAATCAGGCCACTTTAAGGTATCTCAAGTTAAATACCCAGAATCACTAGTTATTTTTGAAAATCTTGGCTTTAATGTTTTCAAAGAACTTTGAAATAATAGGATGAAATGTGCAAAATGATGCAACCTACCATTAAGGTTCCCTAAGAGTTTCCCACTGTACCTGAGGCATAAAGGGCTGAAATCTCTATAGCAATTTATTGCATGTCACAATACTGCTGCAGAGCAAATACAGTTAAGCTATCTTTAGTAATAAAATAAATGATTTATTAGTAAGATTTTGTCTGCCAGTCTTGGTCTGATCCTGTTCGTAAAAGTTCTTGCTGGATATTTCGAGATCCATGATTAACTTCTGGGAATGACCTCCTGGACTTGTCATTTTTCAAGATTATACAAAATCTTTGTTTAGCTTTAAGTAAATAAGCTAAAGTCTTCTCTGTTGTAACTGTTGTCATTCAGGAGCAACTTACCCCACTAGGTTTAGTCTGTTTGGCATGCCTCAACTGCATGTGTATAGTGGTCATCCTGTATTCTACTCATAATTGTCATAATTTTTTACATTATTATAAAAAGAATCATTTGAACTAGTAAGGGAAGTTTTTCTAATTTATAGCCTAGTCTTAAAAATGTACTCCTGGAATAAAAAGCAGTTGAGTTTTTTAAGTGACCATGTTTTCCCATAGTCTTTATTATAGTAAAAGATTGATCGGATTTTTAACATTTGTTTTTAACAGAAGCAGCTTCTTGAAACTTCAGTTGTGACTGCAGAACTATAACTTTCTTGTTAACGTGCATGAAAAATATAAAGTCTGCATATTATAAGTTGGATTTCAGTATGAAAAGAAACAGTTGTCTCGACTTTCAAGAAGTTGGATGTGCAGCTGTGTTCGCAAAAATGGATGCAGAACAGTATGCCTACTTCTATGTATACTTGCACACACAAATTGGATATTTACATGTAGAAAATAGGCATGCACTTCATGCAGATTTTGAGCATACAGTTGCAGTCCTGATTATTTGCAAATTAAGCTGTGTCCAATGTACAAAATTGATTTTGCTGACACACAAGAACCCCATCTCTGATGTGAAAACTGACACTCACATGTGTAATCTTGACAATAGTTTAAAAGTTTAGAAATGAACTATTCAGTCATTGCAATAGGATAATCTTTCTTTCAGGTGTAGATCACCTTTGGCACGTGGCCCATTAGGGAAATGCGCTGGCGGGCCAGGATGGTTTGTTTACCTGCAGGGTCTGCAGGCCGTGGTCTGCCGTTCAAGGCCAATTGGGGCTGAGGGAAGCGGCATGGGCCGAGGGATGTGCTGGCCACTGCTTCCCGCAGCCCCCATTGGCCTGGAATGGCGAACCACGGCCAGTGGAAGCTGCGATCAGCCGAACTTGTGGATACTGCCTGTAAACAAACCGTCCTAGCCTGCCAGCAGATTTCCCTGACTGGCCGCGTGCCAAAGGTTGCCGATTCCTGATATATATGAAGTGATACAGTTGACCAGTTTTCTGCACTTTGTGTTTAGCATTTATAAATATTTGTTTTGTGTGTGTGTGTGTGTGTGTGTGTGTGTAAAAACAACCCAATTGATTCTATAAACATGAATGTAGACTTTTTGTATGACAAACTCTACATAGGTTAACACTGCTTCACGCACACAGACTTACAAAATGTTTAAAAATAAGTGATTAAACTTAGTTACAGTTCTTATACTTAACTGCTCACTTGAAAGGAGAAGGGGATAATGGTTAATATTCAGATAATTATATTTAAACATCACTTTAATTATGTAAACACTGAGTAACTGAATGGCATTGCAGAAATGGAGTGTGTTTTAAAAAGTTGATTTAATTTTATTTGTGCTCATATCACTTTTCCTCAAAAACATGACTAAACGAAGAAATCAACCATTTTGAAAGCTGAGTGAGAAGTCTATACAATGTGCTTTGAGGAAATACTTTGATATGAAAGATTTTCATTTTGTTAGGCTTAAAAAAACCCACTATGTCAAAATAAGGTTTGTCTGCACAGATCACATAAAATATACCAGTCTAACCACTGGAAATGCAAGCCTTTGAAGTTTGTTGTATCTTATTTCTGGTAAGGATTTAAACTTCTTTATCAAAGAGTACAAGCTAGATAAGCTCAGACTCAACTAGAAATTGTTGACTAGTTGGTTGTGAAGATGTGAAAACCTGTTAGGGACCAGATTGCTTTTGGGGGGGCGGGGGTGTTTTAAATCGTAAGAGCATGTGGGTGGGTATTCAAAATTATGTAGAAAATATGATTCCTCCTTCAATTTATTAATATTTTCTGAAGGAAAGCTTTTAGATGGACCTCTACCTAATACTAAGTCAGTTTCCTTTTTGGATCTGGTTTTACTTGACTCTTCTCATAAACTTATGATTTTAGAAATAGGATGGGGTTTAGAACTTCAAAATACAACTTGTATGTCCATTGTCCAAGAGTGGAGTGAGTGACCCATTTCAATACGGCAGAAGTGCACTGTACTGGTTTGGCATGCATTGTAAATTCCTGGAAAATTCCTCAGGTGCTCAAGTGCAGACAAATCTTTACTGAACTTAATACCCAAGTTGGCAGATAGGTTCAGTCTCGCAGCAATATAGTTTGTATGGGGTGTTTCATTTGAATTGTGAAACTTA